TTAAGAAACCTTCACAAGTAATTTATAGAGAACATTTGTGAATGAAAACGAAACTTTTATTAAAAATTTATGCCATAAAGAGCTACATACTGACTCGTAGAATTTCAACAAGTGCTCTGAATTATATTGCACACCCTGTCTACCAGTTTTCCTTTAAGAGTACATAATTTGTAGGTCACGGGCCCAACGATTCCCTTGATTTTGTAAGGCCCTTCCCAATTCTTGGCAAACTTCCCGCCCTCTAGAGGCTTGCTAGCATATCTCCTTCTCATCAGGACCAGATCTCCAATATCGAACAACCTTGGTCTAACCTTGGCATCGTGATATTCTTTCACCCGTCTCCTATAATTTTCACCCGTGGAGCTCTGCCCTTAGCATCTCCTCATTATCCTTAGGATCATAATTTCCACCCTTTTGCTTTGGGACTAATGCCTCCAATGGTGTCCGAGCTTCAAAACCACAAGTTAAAGCAAAGGGGGTCTCACCAGTGGCCTTTCTTGGAGTCGTCCTATATGCCCAAAGTATGTTTATTTATAATCAATATTTGTGTCTATTTCACAGTAAAAAGCTGTGATGAATGTTGAATCATGTAAAAGAAGTAGAGATGATTCAAATATGACCACTTATACTAAATTGCTTAGTCATGTTGGAGAGCTTTCAGGAACTGTTGAAATGATGCAAAAGTTGTTGGTTGAAAAGAACATTATCCTCCCATGCCAGATGTTGTATCAGATCATTGTTCAAAAGCGCTTAATCGTGGCTCCGTCGGTGTATAGAACTTCATGCAAACGTACGACCATGAAATCAACCTCAACTGACCATACGCATGGCTGTGATCCGAGCTGAACCGTGAGGGTTATCACCCCTTCTGGTTCGATAACATTTCCAATGAAACCTGATAGGGGGTCTTCACCGGTTTCAATGTAACACTGTCCCCAAGTATATTCACTTTTGTGTAAATTATGTATTGAACCTTGAGGAATAGTTAATGAATTTACGAGTTTGCTTGTAAATTTTTATTACTACGTATAGTATTACTTTTGCGTGAATAGTAAAATTTCACGTGAGACCCACACCGGGAGCGGGGACCACCTGATATTTCCGTGAACATATATTATAGTATATATATTATAGTTTGATGACATAAAAGTAATGCTTAAAGAAATTAAACAGTAATTCTAATCTCATTAAGATGCGGAGAAAAAACGGAGCTGAGAACTTCTCTCTAAAACTTCGGACCTCCTAGGGCTCAGCCGCTAGGTTAGTTTTTCGATTTCGGCCTTCAGCCGGTGATCGGGTTTGTAGACGAGGAAGGCCAAGGCAGGCGGCGGGGAAGTAAGGTCAGGCAGCGAACTTCAGTTTCGATAGGACCGAGGAATTGCATCGGAATAGGGAGATCGCTGGCCGAAGGTTCCAGTGCATGGAGGACATAGTAGCATCATACAAAAGAATGTTGATGGCAGAGCAGGGCAGCGAGTTGAACTTGATGAGGAAGCCGCGATGGAGAGTGAACCGGTGGCGCATCCGGTGGTCGCGGTGGTCATCATAGACCGAAAGATTAAACTACCCAGGTTTCAAGAATTGATGTCTTCCCTTTGAAAGCCAGGTAAAGGTATGACTATCAAAGAAATCGGCGAACGAAGGTACTTGCTAAACTTTAATCATGTTTTGGATATGAATCGTGTGATTGAGGATGGTCCTTGGCTGTTTGAGCGTGATTTAATACTGCTAAAAGCTATCCAACCGAATGATATACCTGAATCAATGAATTTATTTGAAGCAAGAATCTGGGTACAGGTGCGTAATTGTGACACCGCACCCGGATGTATTTGAATTTAAAATTCAGTATGTATTTGAATTTTTCTAGTGAATATTCTCGTATGAAAGAATGATGGATTTAATTAATGCACGATTAATTAAATTATTTATCGGGCCCATAATATTGAGAATGGGCTACCAAATATCTAGTTGGGTCGTTAAACAATTATAGAAGCCCAATAAAATGCCAACCGAGGTTGAGGGAAATGATTGGGCAACCCAAACGCTATTTTGACCCAACCTGCCAGAAATAGCGGGAATAATTGGGAGAAACTTTCTACACCCAAATGGGATTTTTCCTACATGCATTGTATGCTCCAAATAATGATTTGGAGACAAGAAAATATGATAGGTGCGGACAAGGGGAGGAGGAGGAAGTCTCATAGAGACAAAGCCACACCCTCCATGACCCTACCCCTTGTTTTATTGGTTGACTTAGAGGAGTAGGGATGGACTCCTATCATTGCACTCATACGAACCAACCAAAGCCTAGGAAGTGCTCTCAAAGTTCATTAGCTTGAGGAGCCAAGAAGAGAAGAAAATCCAAGGAGAAGAGGATTGTTTTTGAGGTAAGAACTTAACAAACAATCTTTAACTAGTATTATTTTGTTGGATTTTTAAGGAATCATATGATGGATTAAACCACGAGTTCTACACGTTTAAAAGTGTAGAATATTGATATAAAGTGGTGATATTTAACTTAGAAGTGTTGGTGAATCGATATGAGTCGAAACCGCCGGAAACCGCCACCTTTAGGGAGCTGCTCGAATCTGCAGAACACGAAAGCCGCCCGGCAATTGTGAAAGCCGCCCGGCTTTTGTCCAGCAGTCCACTTTTGCATTTCCAATCGGCCTAGAACGGGGATTGATCGAGGGGCTTAACAAAGGCAACTATTGTAGCACATTGACGTACACTTGTCGTGAGGTGCACTCAAAATAAATATCAATACGACACTAATACGTAGTATAGCGAAGTAAGGTTCGTATCCACAGGGAAAGGAATATTTCTCTTTTTAATTAACTAGTAACAAGGGGGGGTTTTAGATTTGATTTGATTTAATTAACACTAAGATGAATGACTTCAATGAGTTTAATTAATGAGAAGAAGACTTGGCTTTGCTTTTATCCACTTAATGAAATGTTCGTCGATCCCGATTATATCTTTAACTATCTTCCTCTCGAATACTCAATCGAGGAGTATATCCAGTTCATCGAGGGTAGTTATTAATAACGAGAAGCGTTCATTAATAAAACTTACTATCGAGTCAATATAGAACAAGCGTCGTATATTAACTTGATAGTAGCAATAAACTTAAGATGAAAACGATTGAGATTGATAACCTCAACACAAGCGGTTTATTGGTTTAATCAATATAATTAATTCCCCTTAGATTATTAACCATGAGATGCATGCATTAATAATCCAAGTTTACTACCATGAAAGGACCGAATTAATAACAAGCGTATTAATCGACCGATTCTAGTATTAATTAATATATGAAACAAAACTAGTTGATCCTTTAAGTAATGTTCAAAATATTAATATGAAATAGGAATAGGAATTAATCAATACTCAAGAAAGAATATTAAAGAAGATGAATCCTATTATAGTTAATATCAAGATGTTAACTAATTGTCATCTTAGTAACACTCCCCAATATTAACATAGAGGAAGAAATAATTATTACTATAACTAATGTCAAGATGTTAACTAATTGTCATCTTAGTAACACTCCCCAACATTGATATAGAAATAGTATTTAAAGGAAGAATTAATATTCAAGGAAGAAGATTAAAGAGAATAACTCACAACTTACAAATTCATTAAGCTTCAAAGTAGCAAAACCAAGATGGAAGAGTTTAGCTCCTCATTTGGAGACTAAACATGCTATAAAAAATATAAAAGAAATACTATTCTAAACTGAGCTAAAGAGTATATGTGAATTGGTTCCTCTAATGTGAAGGAAAAGGAGTGTATTTATAGCAAAATAGAGGTGGCAGGGTTCGGTACTCGATCCAGTATTGGCAATACTCGACCGAGTATGAGAGGAAATTTCCAGGAAATTGTGAAATATAGGCATACTCGACCGAGTATTGCCAATACTCGACCGAGTATGCGACAAGATTTTCATCAAATATTCAGCCACGTTCTTTTGCTCCCAGATTTGATTTTGACCAGCGTATCAGGCCAATACTCGACCGAGTATTGGCAATACTCGACCGAGTGTTGAACAAATTTCAAAATCTTCATTTGATCTTGTCCTTTTTGCACATTCTTTGGTCTTTAGGATCCATCCTTTGATTCTTGGGATGATTTTGACCTGTCCTAAGCTCAATATAATCCTAATCTAAATAAATTACAAATAATTAATGAAAATAAAGTATTACACCAAAAGTGTGTAATTTGTACAACTAGAACTAATAAAAACTAGTTAAAAATACAAAAATACAATAGGAAATTACACGAATATCACACATCATAAGGTGAGGATGGCTGACTATATTGCTTATAATCCTTGGGTTAATTTCATAAGATTACCTAAGTAAATTAAATGTGATTTTCATGGATTATTAATGATTAATAATGCCTAAATGAAAATACTATTGTTTATGAATAGAAAATGCATAATATACAAATTTATGAGTAAATGATGTATAGTTATGCATTATAAGTATGATGCTATGATGATTGTGTAAACCATGAAATTCTTGTGATAAAATATACTTTTACTTCCAGGTATAGGAATCATGAATGGGTAAAAGTGATATTTTTGATATTGAGATTAAATCATATACGGATTGGGAAATTCAAAGGAATGAACCTTATAACTATGAATTAAGAGCTTGGTGGCTTAAAGATTTATGGATTAGTATTGAATTTACTAGTCGGAAATAATAGTACGGAAAGCGATAGAATAAATCCTAAGGGCTTGGATTGTGAAAGAGGCACCTTAAGTAGTCTTATGAGATGTCTTAAGGTAGAAATGGGTAAACGTTAAGTTACCGTAGGAGTAGGCCTCAAAGGCTACTCATAGTAGAGGAACTCTAGGCATAGGATTTGCTTAGTAAATGATAAGTCCGTATTTAGACACGCATTTGATGCGTGTTGGGATCGGCTTTTGATGGTTTTCCTAGCTTTAAGGTGTTACAAGTCTCAATTTTAGCTCAAGTTATGTTTAACAGGCGTTGGTTCGAGTTTTGTGTCATTTGGAGTCAAAATTAGGATTTTAGAGTTCAACATCGGCACTTGAGGAGCAATCGGGATGATTCGAGATGCATTTGAGTGTTGATTTGAGAGCTATGGAGTTCACCGGTAGGTTTACGATGAAGATTTAATGACAAAAGAGCTCTAGGATTGGCTATGAGATCAAAAAGAAGATGAATGAAGCTTGAAAACGGCATTCAGGATGACCTTTGGTCAATCGTTCAAGCATATCTCTTTGTATAAGAATCCAAAGAACACGATTCAAAGTTCACATGAAATCCGAATTCAAGAGCTACAAATCATATGAAGACATCATTCCTAGAATCTGAGAGGAAGAAGATGAAAACAGACGATGAAGTCAGATGATCTCTGCTGCGATCTCAGAATGACACCTTCCACCGTTTTGATCATATCTCTTGATTGGATGATTCAAATCACATTCGGCAAATTGGGGTGGATAGAATACTTCATTATCTACAACTTGCATGAAGAAAGTTTTGTCAAATTCGGAAGTTTTACGCACTCCGTGCGTAGGGGAACGCACGACCGTGCGTCGCACCGGGTGACGCAAACTTGAATCCCGAATCGGCCCGAATTCATATTTTCCCCCCTTTTTCTATAAATAAGGCCTCTCTAACCCTTTTGGATGGTGACGAACATTACGGAGAGGCCTAGGGACGAATTTACTTGCGTTTTTACGATTGTTTACTCCAAGACCCTGGGATTATTTGTAAGTTCATCTTTTTAATTAATGACAATTATTTCTATTCATCCCAATTCTGTTGATTCTTCAATTATGAATTGTGAGTAGTTTAATTAGGGATTTGGGATTGATGAAGGGGTTAATCATGATTGATGGCTAGATTCTTGTCGGTTTAATTGCATGAATGCCATTTAATTTATGTTTGAATAATTTAACTGATATCTTTTGTAACCTGGAACCGCGGCTAGAATTACAATTGCTTGTAGAATAAATTAAGAGAGATCTAGTTTATTCTAGGACACATTCACACACACTTAATCGTTCGCTAAGAGATTAGTAGCGATTAAGGAGCCGTAAGCTCGCTCGTCTTGGCAATAATTTAGGATCCTGTCGCATGAGAGATCAGCCTGGTCCCCTAAATTATTGTACTCTACGCCGCGAGAGCGGTAAGAACTTAGTAATGATTAGCTAGGCTCAATTAAATCAATTTCATGTAATTAGGCCTGATCTGCCAGAAATCTGGTTACCCCGGAATCAATCCCTATTCCCTTCGTCATTAATTAATTAGAAACCACATTTATTTTTTATTCGCTCAACCGCATTAGTTTAATTTTCAAATCAACCAATCTCGCACGACGCATTTATTTTATTTATTTCATTTTTAATCGCTGAATTTAGTTAATCTTTAATTCCCTTTTGTCCGTCCCTGTGGAGACGATACTCGTACTTACACCCCTATATTACAATTTTTTATGTGCGAAAAAACTCACATCAGTTTTTGGCGCCGTTGCCGGGGACGGTGTCGGATTTGAGGATTAATTAATATCAGCGACTTGTTTTTAGTTTTTCGTAGGATTTTTGTCTACTAACCTTGCAGGTCAGTCTGTTTATGCATACACGCTCAAAGAGGGGAGAACCACTTATCTCTCTTAATCCTGAGATTGAGAAGTTCGCTAGACAGAACCACAAGGCTTTTCTTGAGAAGAACGCAACCATGGACCCTACATCCTCTGGATTTGCTGGGACGTCTGAGGTCCAAACCACTGCTGATAACCTTGATTTTTTCGTCAATACCTCTCCTCAGTCTTCACCGCCTGCATCACCTAGAAATCCCGCTGGATTTCAAAATTTCCACAATCCTTTCTTCCGTCAAAATCAGACCACTCCACAATTAAATCTTCCTCCATTATACCAACTTTTCCAAAATACCTCTACTGCTCCCGAAACCACTTTTCAGAACCAAACATATGGGATGCAGGGTGTAGGGCAATCCATTCCAGTCTTACAGCCTAGACAGCACCCACCACCAGTCACCCAAAATCCACCCCTGACTCGGCCACAAAATCAGCCTTTTCGGAATCAAAACCAATTCTGTCAGCCCAAAGTGCAGCCCCAACCGCAACCAAACATAATCCGACCGCACCCTATTAGACCACAGCCTGTTCTTCAGCCTAGACAGCAGGCTCCTCCATTCAATAATTATATCTCACATGACAACCCGCTCTATCAGGGAGAGACTATTGCAGATTTCCTCACTCCGGAGATTTCAGAGTATGACAGCATTCAAGTACCGGGAATTACTGCAAACCGTTACGAGATCAACCCAACGGTGATTAACATGGTGTCCAATAATCAATTTGGAGGAGGCCCTACTAAAGATCCAGTGGCGCATATTACCTGATTCCTGCGGATGTGCCAGACTTTCAAGATACCTGGAGTAGATGATGATCAGGTGCGGATGTTACTTTTCCCTTTCTCACTGAGGGACGATGCACAGAGGTGGCTGGACAGCAATCCTCACCATCATATTCAAACTTGGGACCAGCTGCACAAGTCCTTCATCAAAGAATATTTTCCGACGTCAAAAGCACTAAAGTTAAAGAAGCAACTGCAAGAATTCAAGCAAGGACCCCTGGAGACAATGGTTGAGGCATGGAAGAGGTTCAAGGTGTTGAGAAGAGCTTGCCCACAAGGCAAGATGACTGATTGTGAGGTTCTATCTTGCTTCTACAGTGGACTCAACAACGAAGGAAAGATGATGCTCGATGCTTCGGGTGGTGGAGCTTTTCCTCACTTACCATCTAAGGTGGGGGAAGAACTAGTGGAGAAGATTGTTTCAAATAATGCTTCATGGTACAACTTTCGGGACACACCTCACCAGAAGGCCCCGGGTTTGTATGAGATTAGTGATAATTCTTCCCTTTCTGCAAGGGTAGATACTTTGGCTAGCATGCTTCAGAAGCTCACTACAACCGTGGAGGATAATCAAAAGAAGATGGAACTTGCTCTCTCGATGCCCAGTGTCAATATGGTAGCCCCCGGTCCTATTAGTCCTTCTTGTACTACATGTGGGGGACTCCATTGGCCGCATGAATGCACTATGATGGCACACTCGGCAGCCCCTGGAGTGGAATAAGTGGACGCAGTGTATTTTCAAAGGAAGGGCTACTACAATCAGCCCTACCACCAACAGCAACAAGGAAACTATGGGCAGGGAAATCAACAACAATATAGGAACTTTAATCAGCCCCAATCTCAACCGCAAGAACAACAATTCCAGCCACAAAGGAATGAGACTGAGCATAAACTTTCTAACTTGGAGAAGACACTCGAGCAATTCATTCAAGTGACTGCGGTGAGAGATCAATCAACGCAGTCGAGTATTCAAGAAACGCTGTCGAGTATTCAAGAAACGCAGTCGAGTATTCGAGAAACACAGTCAAGTATTCAAGACATGCAAATTCAGTTGGGGCAGCTCGCAAAGGCCGTTTCTGAGAGGCCTATGGGATCCCTCCCGAGCAACACCGAACCAAATCCAAGAGAGCAAGTTCACGCAATCACACTGAGGAGTGGACGAGATCTGGAACCTGCTGCCATGAAGAAGAAAGTTGAAGACGTTGAACCTGCTGCAGTTGTTCTTGAGGAGAAGAAGGAAGAAGAAAAGAAAGAGGAGGAGGGGGGGCGCAGTCCCAAAGCAACCCGTTCCAGTCAAAGCTTACAAACCACCACTCACATACCCGCAACGCTTAAAGGGGAAGAGTGACACTGAGGACTTCAACAAGTTTCTAAACCTCTTTAAACAGGTTCAAGTAAACGTACCATTTATGGAGGCGCTGAATCAAATGCCAAGGTACGCAAAGTTTATGAAGGAACTCCTTTCCAACAAAAGAAAGTGGGGAGAACCGAAATCGGTGGTGCTGAATGAAGAATGCTCGGCGGTGGTGTTGAAAGAGATGCCCAAAAAGCTCAAGGACCCAGGTAAGTTTACTATCCATTGTTCCATAGGATGTATGATTTCTAATAATGCGTTAGCTGATTTGGGTGCAAGCATTAATTTGATGCCTTACTCTTTGTATGAGAAGCTTGCACTCGGTCCACTTAAACCAACACGTATGTGCATACAATTGGCTGATCGATCAGTTAAATACCCTCAAGGGCTGAAGACGTATTGGTTAAAGTGGACAAGTTTGTGATTCCGGTTGACTTTGTTGTTTTGGATATGCCCCAAGATTTTGATGTGCCCTTGATTCTTGGAAGGCCTTTTCTAGCCACTGCTCGGGCACTCATAGATGTTGGGGAAGGGAAATTGATTTTGAGGGTTGGGGAGGAGAGAGTTACTTTTTGCATGGCCAAGCTGGCAAAACAGTCCTGTCAAGATGTTAATGAGTGCTTTTTGTTAGATGTCATTGATCCACCTGGAGAGGAGGGAAGAAACCCCCACCTTTTAAAGAGACTGATTTTGACCCATTCTTTGATAAAGGACCTCATAAAGGCCTAGACTCATTCCTGTGCTTTACAAGTGGCCCTAAGATGCACAATTGTTTTCATGAATTTAAGGTCTTACGCCATCTCAGGGCATTTGTTGATAGGAGGTTTGATTTGTGGAAGACTAATTTTCTGAGCGGGAGTGTCTTTGACTGAGTTTTTGATGAGGCGGTTGCGTCGGGCAAACGACGTTAAAAATAGCGCTTCTCGGGAGGCAACCCGAGCTTTTTTTTCTGCTTTTGTTTTTGCTTTTGCCTTCTTTGTTTGTTGGTTGTTTTGCTTTGTGTTTTTGTTGCAGGTCAGGGTCTTGTTGTAGGGATGATGTACCGAGGATCATTGACTCCGTTTAGTTCTTCACCGACCAGCACCTTAGGGAAGTTTCTGCGACTCTTATTTTTGCCTGTTTTGTAAATGTTGACTTGAGTTGAGATTGAGCACGCGTGACCCTATCCTCTTTACCCCCTTGTGCATAGTGCATTTTTGGTCATCGAGGACGATGCCAAAGTTTAAGTGTGGGGGAGTGAATTGGGCATTCGGGCAGTAGTTGTTACATGTGATTAATTAGAGTTAGCATGCGCAGGTGTTAGTTGTATATTCATAGGAAATTCGTGTCAAAATTTTTGAAAATTTTTCTTTAAACTGTGTCTTTGTGAAGTGGCTAGCATTTGACTATGCTTTTATAACATCTTTGAAGTGTTTAGACTTAATTTGCTTGCACTATAATCTGGTTGTTGAAAGGATGAAGGCATTAGTCACTCATGTAATGAATTAACAATTTTCCCATTGACCTGAATAAGTTCCTTTAGGAGAAGCCATTTTGAGCCTGACCGTTCTTTGTTACCCAATTAATTGAGCTCCATAGCCAAATGGTCTGTGTTTCCTTACCTGGAATATTTCTGACTTAGTCTTGATGTTTAGGGAACTAGGGGATTAATTTGCAAAGTTTAGAGAATTTGTGTAGGAGCCATTTTGGCACTGTTCCTATGCCCCAAATGGGGTAAGAGCAGTCATCTTTTAGGAATATGATACTTTCGAGGATTGCATTGTAGGCATGGATTCACTTTGAAATTAATGAACTTTAATTGCTATTTTTCCTTGGTGAGGCCGAGATTAGAATGAGGTAATGTCTAGTGAGAATCCGAAAGGTGAAAAATTAATATAGCTAGACCTCTTATCTTGCGAAAAAGAGAATGGGAGTCCCGGTCAAAAAGCGTAAGATGAGACTTGGGTATCTTTCGAAAGAAATGGCGTTCTCGTGCCAACATGACAAGGAAAACTAAACATAATTAATGAATTTGGAGCCTATCTCAAAATTTAGCTTTAGTCCTCCGCGTACTTCAAGTATACGTCAAAGCACAAATGTGCCGAGACGGTTTAGCTTAGTTGGACACCATGTCTACTCTTTGCATAGGTTTAAATGATTGTTCCTAAATTGTGGCCTACTGAGTTCCTTGATCCTAAGAATAGCCCTGAAGTTCCTGAATGCATTGAGTCTTTGTTAGAATATTCCAATCTCTCAAAAGAAAGGGACTGTTTATTACCATTCATCATTCACCATCACCTTCACAAGTCTTTCTGATCAATAGCTAGTTTATTTGTGTATGATGTCATTACTCTAAGGATGTTGTGAATACTTTGTCAAATAGTTTAGCTTGAGTACAAAGATGTAGTTTAGGGAAGAATTTTCTTGGTTTAGTCTGCCTGTTCTGTGAATATTCCTTTAACTACGTGTGCATGCTAATTGTTTTGATTCCGTGTGGTGATTATCGTAAGTCCCGTTGTTTAGTTTGCTTGAGGACAAGCAAAGGCTTAAGTGTGGGGGAATCTGATAAGTCCGTATTTAGACACGCATTTGATGCGTGTTGGGATCGGCTTTTGATGGTTTTCCTAGCTTTAAGGTGTTACAAGTCTCAATTTTAGCTCAAGTTATGTTTAACAGGCGTTGGTTCGAGTTTTGTGTCATTTGGAGTCAAAATCAGGATTTTAGAGTTCAACATCGGCACTTGAGGAGCAATCGGGATGATTCGAGATGCATTTGAGTGTTGATTTGAGAGCTATGGAGGTCACCGGTAGGTTTACGATGAAGATTTAATGACACAAGAGCTCTAGGATTGGCTATGAGATCAAAAAGAAGATGAATGAAGCTTGAAAACGGCATTCAGGATGACCTTTGGTCAATCGTTCAAGCATATCTCTTTGTATAAGCATCCAAAGAACACGATTCAAAGTCCACATGAAAGCCAACTTCAAGAGCTACAAATCATATGAAGACATCATTCCTAGAATCTGAGAGGAAGAAGATGAAAACAGACGATGAAGTCAGATGATCTCTGCTGCGATCTCAGAATGACACCTTCCACCGTTTTGATCATATCTCTTGATTGGATTATTCAAATCACATTCGGCAAATTGGGGTGGATAGAATACTTCATTATCTACAACTTTCATGAAGAAAGTTTTGTCAAATTCGGAAGTTTTACGCACTCCGTGCGTAGGGGAACGCACGACCGTGCGTCTGAGGCGAGAAAAGCAAGGTAGCTACTGCCAGCTACGCACGGCCGTGCGTAGGGGGGACGCACGCCGTGCGTAGCACCAGGTGACGCAAGCTTGAATCCCAAATCGGCCCAAATTCATATTTTCCCCCCTTTTTCTATAAATAAGGCCTCTCTAACCCTTTTGGATGGTGACGAACATTACGGAGAGGCCTAGGGACGAATTTACGTGCGTTTTTACGATTGTTTACTCCAAGACCCTGGGATTATTTGTAAGTTCATCTTTTTAATTAATGACAATTATTTCTATTCATCCCAATTCTGTTGATTCTTCAATTATAAATTGTGAGTAGTTTAATTAGGGATTTGGGATTGATGAAGGGGTTAATCATGATTGATGGCTAGATTTTTGTCGGTTTAATTGCATGAATGCCATTTAATTTGTGTTTGAATAATTTAACTGATATCTTTTGTAACCTGGAACCGCGGCTAGAATTACAATTGCTTGTAGAATAAATTAAGAGAGATCTAGTTTATTCTAGGACACATTCACACACACTTAATCGTTCGCTAAGAGATTAGTAGCGATTAAGGAGCCGTAAGCTCGCTCGTCTTGGCAATAATTTAGGATCCCGTCGCATGAGAGATCAGCCCGGTCCTCTAAATTATTGTACTCTACGCCGCGAGAGCGGTAAGAACTTAGTAATGATTAGCTAGGCTCAATTAAATCAATTTCATGTAATTAGGCCTGATCTGCCAGAAATCTGGTTACCCCGGAATCAATCCCTATTCCCTTCGTCATTAATTAATTAGAAACCACATTTATTTTTTATTCGCTCAACCGCATTAGTTTAATTTTCAAATCAACCAATCTCGCACGACGCATTTATTTTATGTATTTCATTTTTAATCGCTGAATTTAGTTAATCTTTAATTCCCTTTTGTCCGTCCCCGTGGAGACGATACTCGTACTTACACCCCTATATTACAATTTTTTTAAGTGCGAGAAAACTCACATCAGTAAACTAGTATCGTGACTAGAGGAAGCCTCTAGCACGATGAAGAATGATTGGAGGAAGCCTCCAGCATTCGTATAGGACGACTAGAGGAAGCCTCTAGCGTAACGTAATGTGACTGGAGGAAGCCTCCAGCACAACATATGTAAGGTGATTAGAGGAAGCCTCTAACACCAAGTGGAGTGACTAGAGTAAGCCTCTAGCACGACAAAACATGACTAGAGGAAGCCTCTAGCATGGTGAACTAAAATTGATAGGCGTGGCTTGAAGTCACGGGGAAGGGTTAAATGTTTTCAAAGTAAACATGGGCCTTCGGGCCGACTACTTGATTTTATATATAAAGTAAGTATATTTTCAAAGAGGGTAACCACGGGTTATGACCTATAATATAATATCACTCTATTTGAGGGACTTGGAAATTGAATCATTGATTATACTTAGTATAGTTGTCATTGTACTTGTCAAATGCTTCCAAGTACTGACCTCCCCTTCACGGGGGAGGCCACCTCACAGTTTCAGGTAGGGGCAAAAGCTTGCTATCATCGTCCGTTGCTTCGGGAAGCTAAAGGAGAGAAGACGTGGTTCGTGCTTCCTCCGTATCTGTTTTCAAAACAATATTATTAAATGCTCATGGATATTATTTTCGGAATAATTATTTGGGGGCTTGTATGCCCGTGTTTGCCACGTGTGGCTTGAATACTTGTATTAATATTTCCGCTGCTTAATTAAATATTTTACATTATGATTGTTTATGGATGTACTATTGTGAATGGTATTCAAGACGCCTAGTATAGTATGGATGAGTTGGACTGCGGTTGACTATTCGTACTGTACGGCGGGTTGTTGACGTGTCCGGTAGGTCCGGGGCGTGACAGTAATGCTCCTTTTAAGTATAGGAATCTGCGATTTGCCAGGAAAATTGGTAATTTTTTAGGTTCTTTTATTAAATTTGAGATGAGCCAGTTTGAAGGTAGGCAGAATTCCTATCTTCGGATAAGGGTATGTTTGGATGTTTGCCAGCCCTTGAAAAAAGGTACAAATTTGACACAGGATGGGGTGAAACACTGGGTAGATTTCAGATATGAGAAGCTACCAAGTTTCTGTTTTATTTGTGGTATTATTGGGCATTCTGACAAGTTTTGTCCATTAAAATATGAAGAGGGTTTTGTCGCTGAAAAAATGTATGGAGCGAGTCTCAGAGCAGGAGGAAGGGTAAAGACTAGCCCGACAGGATTCAATAAATGGTTATCTGATGGAGCCTCTAGCTCAGATGGGTATGGAAGTCAGTGGAAGTCTGATCTCGGTAGGGAGCAAACGGCCGAATCCAAGAATGAGGAAGTGGATGTTGGAAAAATGTGTGAAAATTGCATTAAATGGCTATTTTGGGGCAATTTTTTGAGTGGGGTCCACTTCCGATTTGGGTCGGGTCAAAGTGGTTTCGGATTGTCCTTGTTAAGGGCTACAATTCGATATATGGTACGCTCAAAACGGATAACGGGTGAATGAGAAATCGCTTTTCGAAGTTTACCCGTTAGAATGGAAAAACTGGGAAAAAGGATGGGTTTCTAGTGTTAATTTCCCACACCGGAAAACCCAAGGGATTTGCAACCCTTTATAAAGGGACTCCCCCCTTATGGAGTTAAGATTCCTAAGGGTAAAGGCTCTCTCCACGCGCGCAGGGGGGGGGGGGGGGGTGCAAATCAAATCCCGAAATCGGAGAAGAAAAACCGCGACTTGCGTGCGCGGGCGACCTGCGGACACGAATGTCGTCCAAAAATCTATCTCTCAAGAGTTGGGGGTACTCTGATGGCCGCGGATCAGAGTTGGGGTCTTCTGATTGGCCTCCGATCAGAACCCCTCCCGGGGTGTTCTGATGGAGGTCTTCTGTCGCGCTTCTGAAACGTTACAACAATTAATACCCAACGTTCTTATCTTTTAATGCAGCGTTAAATGGACAGTTCATGGACGATTCAATGCCCAACGGACTGGTCATTGATGTCCAACGTTCAGGTCCATTAAGTCACCATTTACACACAACAAATCCTCCTATATAAAGGCTGGCAGGTGGTTTGCAACAAGACACGTTCTTACACGATTGTATACGGTTTTAGCTCTAAAAACACACTGCTAGCACCGTGGGAGGCAACAAATACGTTTTAAGGACATCGTGCGTAGCACGAGCTTTGACTAATTCTGCTTCATCTCCTTTCTTGTTTTTCTCTGGTCATTTTATTTAATTAATTTATTTTAATTAATTTTCTTTATTTTCCGAAACACACCCAACAGTGAAAAAAGAGGAAGCCTCAGGGGACACAAAAAGAAGGCGAATTTGGGAAGACTCGGATAAAGAAGATGGCCGGTGAGGGTGAAGGCATGGCTCTAGATGGATCAAAAAATGGGGCGGCGGCGGGTCTAGCTTTCTAGGCCCGCCGAGATTCTGTGTTATGGTGCTGGTGGTTAAGACCAAGGATGGTGTTATTTTACTTTTTTGTTTTGTTTGCTGTTTTCGGAACTCAGTTGTTATGTCTTATTTTTGCTATTTTATGTCTTGTAAGACTATTGCATTAGGTTGGGGTTTTGAAAGTTCTGTGGTAATCGTCATTGGCTCACAATTGCCCAATCTCGGTCTAGCGAGTTATACTGCTTTTGTACAGGTGGTTAACTCTCAGTCTCGGTCACGAGCAGATGATTACTTGCGGTTCTTTTATTATCTTGTGTCCTTTCTGAATGCTACTTTCATTGACATGTATTAAGCCACTTTCAATAAAAAAAAGAAATTAAAGAGTAATTAAAAAGTTTCTCATTTAAAACTCATGCCAGTGTTGGGATTAGATTAGAAAACACACCAAAAATGAAATGAGAGTAAGAATATCCATATAGGTGACAACTCTGGTACCCATTAAAAAAATGGGGTAATGTACTTACCATGCATTTGATTGGTCCAAATCATTATATCCCTTTTAATTTAGATTTAAATAATTCAACTACATCATTCTAATTGGTCCATGTAGGCAAAGGTATGATACCTTATGGGTACCATAGAATCTACCATCCATATATACTTATTCAAACTTGAAATATACGGAGTAAGAGATAATCATGAACTTATACATATCCATCCCCTGCTGTGTCCATCTGTCTGACCATCGCCAACTTGCATTTGTTTAAAAATAATAAACTTTATATCAAGATAAAAATGTAGAAAACAGCTTACCAGAAGTAGTAAAATTAAAGATTTCTTTTTATTTTATTAAACTTCAAATAAGGGCATCCACAAGTCCAAGTAGGGCAGTAGTATTGGGAAACATTATACGTAGAATAAGCCAAAACAAAAACAAAAAACAAATACTTCGTCTATGACTTATACCGGCCAGAGACGTGTCTCTAATCTCTGCTCTCTATACAAGTTGTGGTGGTCATCCATTCCCCCATTGATCTTGCAAAAGCAAACAAAATATATCATTGATTCTGAATAGAATCAGGGGCGGATCCAGGACACTGGGCCGGACTGGTACCAAAAATATTTTTGAAGAAAAATTTGGGCTGGATCATGGTCAGGGATGGCCACCCCCGCCCCTGAATAGAATATATAATATATTTGGACTTCTCTCAAAAAAATATTTGCACTTTGGTCATAAATTGACTTAGATAAAAACGTTGCATGCAAATACTTTCCGGCGTAAGAGTTGAATCATTAAGTTAACAATGCTGGACGTGTCCCCATCTCCGGCGACGGGTAACTTAAGATGAAATCAGAGTGCGTGGCAAAGAGCTGACGGAAAGAGTTCCAATGGGGTGCACCGACGGGTTCCCGGACTTTACCGGCGACAACTACATGCTGGACAGCCTCGACTTCGACGAACTCCTCATGGTGATCAACGACGGTGAACTGGTGCTGCCGGATTTGAAGACGGATCCGGTGGCACTGCTCTCAGTCGCCGGCCAGACGAAGGATGATGAAAGCGCCACCGCCACCAGTACATTTGTGTTTGGTGACGTGGCGGTGGAAGATACAACGTTGACCAGGACGCCAGAAGCTAATACGAAGAATGTTTTGGGTCCGTCTAGTTCTGGTTCGGACCTTGGGTCGGGCCTCACAAGCTCGAACCTAGGAGAAGAAACAATGTCGAAGTGTGCGTATAGGAAGAAGTCCTTGGCGCAACCGAAGAACAGCTGACAAGGAAAGAGGAAAGTTAAGGTAATTTGCCATTTAATTAAGCCTAGATTCTATGGTACCCAAAAGGTACCGTACCTTTCTCCACATGAACTAATCAAAATATTGCAGTTGAATTATAGATACGATACCCCATTTTTTAAATGGGTACCGGAGTTCTCACCTTAATTAAGTTAGGTTGGCTTACAATTTCTCTATACTTTTCCCGGGTAAAGTACCAGTTTGACTTTGCGATCATTTAGGCACACGTTGGATCCTAATGATCTATAAATATATATCTATATAATCTACTACGTATAATATATTTATATTTTTTTAAACGAGTACTCCCTCCGTCCCCCTAAGTTTGTCCCTTTTTACCTTTTTCGTCCGTCCCACTAAGTTTGTCTCATACCATATTTGGTAACATTTGAGTGGTTAGAATTCATTCTTACTTTATTTACACTTTATCAATTCAATACCAACCACACAATTCCGCTTTTTCTTAAAAACCACACCACACCCCTCCGTCCCAAACTTAGGGGGACGGAGGGAGTATAATATATTTATATTTGAGTAACACATATCACAATGAAGAACATATAGATTAATATTCAAAAAAATATAGATTAGTTTTTGTACAAGTTTGACTATAGATTTACATCCAGAGTAATAGTTTGAGTAATTAACAGTCAAAGTTTGACAATTTTGACTCGAAAGTCAAACTGTGACTTTAATTGAGGGACGGATGTAATATGTTTTTTGTAACTTTTTCTCAATAATGTTAATCATGAATTCTACATTTGAACATTATACTTCAATTTATGGATGAAAATTTATCAAAAATATATAACATCGTTCAATATATAAGAAGACAAATTTCACTTATTAATTTGTATGTGCGTATATCTCTTTCACATATAGTATGCACTGTGCACGTTTTCCAATGTAATTAGGTCACACTAAGGAGTTATGTCTGAATTTTTTATTGTTATCAAGGCATCATTATTATACTCCGGTATATTGATTCATTTGTCTTAAACATACACTTCGGAATGGAGGAATTGAAGATATTAGATCCAACCAAAAGTAACATGAGAAAGAGACTCATTAGTATGTTTCATCCTCTAAAAACTGATATGATGCAATAATGTGTAAAGGTGGATTGGACGCCAGAGCTGCACAAAAGGTTCGTGCAGTCGGTGGAGAAGCTAGGTTTGGATAAGGCAGTCCCTTCAAGGATTTTGGAGCACATGGGGGTTCAATGTCTCACTCGTCATAACATTGCCAGTCATCTTCAAGTGAGCACTACTACTTCGACCAATTATTTGGTCTCATTCATGCTATTTGTTCTCGGTCTGACCGATGAGGTGTCATTTTTTTCTTGACACTTCATGTTTGACCTTTTAGTAATATAAATTGAAATTTAATTACAAACTAAGAATTAGTGAATGATCTATAACACAATTATTTGCACAGGTCCTATGTATTTTTACATATTAATTAACCTCTCATTAGTCTCATTGCGGTTGCTATGATTCGAACTCAAAATGTATCATTGGTGTCTCTGGTGACACTCTATAGTCTACATATCTACCAGTCCAACTATGACCATAGACCTTGATCTATTTTACAACTTTTACAACTACAGAGAATTAGATAAACACGTGCTTACCTGTTCTAATCCAGTGGATGTCCATTCACATATCATTCTTTGCATACGTTTGTTCCAAATTCATACAATTATTGGATTCAACCAGTTTGGTTCGACCCAAGTCAATGTAAATGATTGGTCCCTCCCATTAATTTCTCCATGGCATACTTGCTGACTTGTGCGTAAAATTTGTAATGTGCAGAAGTATAGATCCCACAATAAACATTTGCAAGCGAGGGAAGCGCATCTAACGAGGAAGTGGAACCGAATGCCGAAAATGGGAAGGAAAAGAGGAATAAAACCTTCGTGGGTTTCACCACCAGTGGGCTTCTTCCCTCCCCAAACGCCACATGTCAGCCCTTTGCATGTGTGGGGTCATCCATTTCTTAGCCAATCACTAGGGCACATGTGGCTTAACCATTTGGTAGCTCCTTCTTGGTCTGCTCCGGCGGCATGGTCATTCGCGGCGACTCCGCCACCACCACAAACTGACTTTTCCTTTTGGCATTCCTACAACAACGAATGTGTAAGTGCATACATCATGTTAAAATAATGGGAAAATTCTCGAAATAGCAATAAAACGTTTGAAAATTTTAAAATATGAATGTTATGTTTTTGTTTTCAAAAAATATGACGAATTACTGTCAATTTTTAAAATATTGTCGTTTAAAGTTTGATATATGGGGTGTTTGGATCTAATTCTTAAAACTGCTTCTACTCCTTCAGGGAGCAGAAGCAGAAGATGAATTGTTTGGATGAAAGTGCAAAAATGATACTGGTGCTATAATTTACTCTTAGAATCAACTTTTTTAAAAGTTGGGAGTGATCACCTTTTGAAAACTGATTCTGATTCTGTTTGTACAGAATTTATATGCTTTAAAAATGAAGCAGAGGTAGATGATTGGTACAACATTTGTATGTACAAAGAAATATTTGTATAATTGTACTATTGGTATTGGTTTGGCACGCACCGAATTGAAGAGATCTTTTGCTACTCCGTATTTAAGTAGTACAGTACAACGTGTTATTACTGATTGATGTTATTGAATGCGATGCAGCGACGTGGAGCTGCTGTAGTATCCGGCACTGACCATCTACCCATGTATGGATTACACCCCAGCTGCGTTGGTGTCCCCGCTGCCCAAACTATTCCTACGCCCCCGCTAGACTCTCACCCGGTCAGCCCCTCTCCTCTCCTCTAATAATACTACGTAGTACTCCGTAGTTTTTAAGCTTTCTTTTAATTATAACACATGTAGTTTTATATTTTCAAAAACAAAAACACATGTAATTTTATTTATGGAATAACGATACTAGCTCTCTCATGAATTATCTTTGTATATTAAGAAAAAAAGAATTGTATCGAGGAGAAGTGGAGAACTATGCAAGGGAGAATTTGTACAAATGAGTAAAAATAATGTGAACTGCAAATTATTTGCAAAAAGGGAACTAAAAATTTGTTTACACCATGTCCAATTAATCTTGTTTTAAAATTTGTTTACATTCTTATTGTATCATATAGTGTAGCGGTAAGCGGTTACCCAGAATATATTCATCAGGATAAATTAAACATGCTAATTTAACTTATACTATACCTGATTTTGTTTTATGGAAGTTGGTATTATTAATTAATTGACACTAAAAGTGTAGATATGATCTCAATTTTGTTAGGCCAAGGAGATGATAGACACAGCTATTGGAGATGTTTTATCAAAACCATGGCTGCCACTTCCAGTAGGGTTGAAACCTCCATCCATAGATTCTATTATGAAGGAGTTGCAGCGCCATGGAATATCTATGGTGCCCACCCCGCGCTGCCGCCGTGTTTGATCATCGGATGATTACTGTGCGGGCGCTCGAACTTTTTTTGAGGTTTTTTCTGGCCAAAGAAATTGAAAAAGCCTTCCAATTTGACGACATTTCATACCCTTTAATTAGATGAAGTTGAAATGCAGTTTTTGCCCCACTTTATTTAGCTTCTCCTAATTTTTGCCATGTTCTTGTTCATGCATGCATGTGCAAGAACATTGTTAACAATGGGGTTGTATCGCTTGGTATTTATCTCACTGTCTTTGTGTTATTAACTCGATCCGATCAGCTACGTACTATATTCTCTAATAAAATCTTGTAAATGTTTTTCCGGCATTACTCCACCTATCTAGGTGATTTAGGATGTTTTTACTTGGAAATTCCTGGTCTGATCTAGTCTGGTTTGGTCTAGTTTGGTAAACCTTTGGTCTCTGTGTATTTTATAACTATTCATGTTTGGTGTGGTCTGATCTAATTTGGTCTGCTATAATCTAGTTTGATTTGGTCTGGTTTGGGACTCAAAAACATCCTTACTAACTAAAAAAAGTTATGACCGGTTACGTTCTTCATTAATTATGAGCTAGATTTTGTTCCGTTTCTTGTTTCACATTGTTATATTGACAGTAATTTCATGGCTCAACTAAAATCAGTAATTTCATGGCTCAACTAAAACAAAAATTTCTAAATATGATTAAATTAATGTGAAATTGTAAAACATTTCTTTATTTTCCTTTATGTAATATAAGTAATTCCAATCATGTTTGGGAAATACTACCAAATATAATATGGAGTATTACATACTTCCTCTGTTTTGTAATAAATGCAACACTTTACATTTTCGGCAGTTTCAAATTAAATGCAACCTTTCCAATTTAGGAAATATATAACACTTAAAATACCCTTTATACCCTCAATTATTCTACCCTCCTACCACTCATTCCACCCACCCTCGTTTCATTCGACCGCCTCCACAATTCCTGATCTTCATCTTTATTCCACCATCTTCACTTTCATTCTTTATTGAGAAATTGCCTAATATAGGAGTAAACATAAACATAGCTGCACAAATAGGAGCGAAACTTAAAACTTTCTTCAATAGGAGTAAAATTAATTTTGTACCCTTAATACCCCTAACCTAGTTAATTCTAAGATATAACTTGTTTGATCCTAATAAAATATAAAAAAATTCTAAAATATTTGAAAAAATATATTGACATAATAAAAATTAAAAAAAAAAAATTTTTTTTTTAAAAAAATTGAAAATAAATAAAAAATAGATAAACCAAATTTTATTAATTTTATTTCAAAAATTACAAAACAACTTCGTCAATTAAATCACCTAGGCAGCAAGGGTAAAATTGGAGTACCATATTTTGAATAGGAGTAACTTTAGTGTTTAGACAAGTATATCCCTACCCAAGTCCCAACAACTTTCATTAATAATTAAAACATAAAAGGAATAACATTAATTTATAATAAAATTGTAAAAAAAATGAAAAAAACAAAAAAAAGGAAAAATTGAAAATAATAATCCCAACTATTGCCGGTCCGCTGATAATAATCCCAACTATTGATTATTTTTGTATAATCCCAACTATATGGATCGTCCGCCAATAATGGTCCATGGTCATATATTACCTCCTATAAAAAGTGAATTTTAAATAGAAATTAAGTGTAAAAATTAAAAGTTGAGATTATTTATAGGGATTACTTGCTATATCACTCCTCATCCACTTTAGAAACTACATGAATTTATTTATATGGACCACTATTGGCGGAAGGTCCCTAAAGTTGGGATTATTCTAAAATAATCGATAGTTAGGATTATTATAGGCGGACCACCAATAGTTGGGATTATTCCTATCAATTTTTCCAAAAAAAAATATCAAATAAAACATACTTCATATTAAGGAAAATCGAAGACTTCAACGAGGATGAAGAGTACTTTCTTGCTCCGCATACTCCCCCGCGATGTACCTTGGGCTTGAACCAGTTGAACGACTTGGAAGACTTTCGAGGTGTTTACTTCGCTGCTAAAGGCACAGTTAGGTTAGTAACACTGATGAAGTAAACATGCACGCTACTTAAACAACCGCTTACTAACCGAAAGAGGTGCTTAAGGTGCCGCTTACTAAGCATACTCCCTCCCCATGTATTAATTAAACGGCACTTTAAACATTTTCAGTTTCCGAATTTACTCCTTGTATTTTTACACTATTGTTACCCTCACCTGCTACCCTCACCTCGCCCAACCCTACTACCCCGACCCCGACCCCACTTTACCCACTACCCTCCATCCTCGTAACTTACCCCTTACCCCTACCCTACCCCACCTGACCCTACCCCCAACCTCGGCAACACCCCGATGCCGACCTTCCCTCGCCATCTACAGTTACCCTTACCCTACCCTATCTTACCCCGACCCCACCACATCCAACCCATACTCCCTACCACTTGCCCGTACCTCAGCCCACCCCAATCCCGGCCCCACCCTACCGCCCATCCTAGCCTACCCCTACCACGGCCCCACCCCAACCTGACCCCACCCCATCTACCCCTACCCCACCATACCTCACACCTTCCCTACCCCCTACCACATGCTCCTACCTTGGCCCCACCCCGACCCCACCCTAGCGCCATCCTACCTTACCCCGGCCCCACCCTACCTTACCATGACCCCACCCTATCCTACCCCTACCCTACCCCAACCCCACCCTAACCACCATCCCCACCCCTACCCTAACCACGACCCTACCCGACTCCCTACCATTTGGCCCCACCCCCACCCTAGCCCTACCCCACCACATGCCCCTACCTTGGCCTCATTTTGATCCCAACCCCACCCTACCGCCATCCTACCCCCACCCACCCCCTATCGTGGTAAGGGTAGAGTAGGGGTCAAGGGTGTGGAATTGGGGGTAGGGTAGGGGGTAGGGGTGGGGGCACGTGGGGTTATAGGGAGGGGTTAGGGGTATAGGTACATGTACGAGGTGACCCCACAGATTATATTATATTATATACTTGTGTTCATGAATGTTTGAGCGTTTATATATGTATATGGTTATTTTGGACATTTTAATGTTAAACTGTGCTTTAAACCCTGTGAAGTAAGCACGATCTTAAAACATTGCTTATTTTATGCGCCGCTTATTAACGCGGGTCTTAATAAGCACCGTAGTGGTTCCGGATACCCCACCTCACATTCAAGCGACAAGAGAGGCTACCTATTCGGGACCAAGGAGAATATGTGAAACCATTGTCGCTGCTCAATATTCCGGTGAAGGCGGATCCACCGAAGTTCGTAACGGAGGAAAAGGTTTCAGATTTACTCCGTATTAGTATGTGGATGTAATGAAAAGTTTGATTGATGTGCAACTGTAGCACTTTATGAACTTTTTGGTTTATACGTACATTGCAGGGTAAAATAAGTAAGTATATTACTTTTTCTTTGTTTCTTAATCTTTGTGCCAGGCTCATGTTGCATTATTTTCCGAACAGAGGAATTGAAGTATTAGTATTTGTGATACTCTCTATATTCATTAATAATGAAAGTAATTTGGTCAGAAAAATATACTCCATAGTACTCTTATTACTTATAATTTAACCATATTTCTTTTTTGGTTGTCCAAAAAAGTTGTCATTTTCTCTTTTAATCAATTACTCCGTATTATATTATTTTTGTATGTATATCCCCTCTTTTCAAAACTTTTTACTTTATTATTTTTCGTACCAATAAAACTTGTGATAAGAGACGAAGAAAGTAATTATACTTTGGAATTCCATGATGTTTTTATTCATATTTCTATAAACTCCCCTAACTATTTAATTCAACAAGAAAACTTACCTCTACATAAATAATACATCATTCGTCCAAACAATTTGGTTATTTCTTCTTAAAGTAAAAAATTTGTGATCTCTACAAGCAAAAATTTGAATCTCATATATTTTCACATGCAGTCAAAATTGGTGAATGGGAGGGAGTATGTGAGTATGTCCAACCGAGTCAACCGATTATGACAAATATACTTTCACATGGGTTAATATTTGAATCTCATACTTCGTATATTTTGAATCTCATATATTTTCACATGCGCTGACGATTATAACTAATTTGATTGTGATTTGCCAGCCGATTATGACAAATATACTTGAACTACATCAAACAAAACAACTACAGTTTACAGATAACGTGATGTTCTATCAAATCAACAAAAAGATCGCAGCCTTAATATCTACCCCGTACTAGGGAGATACCGTCATTTCATTTTCATTTAACCCGGTGTCGCAAAGGCTCCCACCTACAGGCTACAGTGGGGTAAGGGGTCGGATGTACACAGTCTTACCCCTGTACTAAAGCACAGAAACTGTTTCTGGATGATCCATAGTGAAAATCGCGTCCAAAATTGCATGGACTGACGGTTGCTTCATAACAAAGAAGAGCAGACAGTTTAGTGGGTCATTTTGCTTTATTTCATCATATTCTCAAGACAAAAAATAATGAATCTTTGGTTCTATCATATTAATGTTAATTATTAATATTCATTCAGTTTCAATAGTTGGGTAGTAAACTACTACTCCGTACTGCTGCAGTAGTGTTCACACTTCTTCTTTTGTAGATAAATCTTTCTATATATGAGGTAAGGGTCAGATTGATACTCAAAGTTGCATAAAAAAGGTGAAATAAGTTCTTAATATCCGGCCGTCGCCATTATAGGCAGTTCCCGGTGGAATTTTTTGATAAAATTGTTTGTGCATCTTATTCATTATGTCTAGTTTACTCATACCAAATTTCAGCTAAAACTTCAATTGGGAAGGCATTCAAATGAATTCGTGAAGATAAATGCGCTTTTAACCGTGCAGTTATCTTCAAGAATTCATTTGAATGTCTTCCCGGTTGAATATTTATCTGAAATTTGGTATGAGTAAAGTTTCAAAAACTTTCGTCAAAAAATTTCACCTAGAACCGCCCCAAATGGCGACGACGGGACAAAGCCTCCAACTTATTTGACCCTTTTTATGCAACTTCGAGTACCATCTGACCCTTACCTCATATACCAAGTATAAGATTTCATTGGATATGAAGATGATGCACACCAATTTATTTGTTCAACTATGGCCCAAATATTGAGGTACAGAGGATTTCATTTTTATACAAAAAAAACAAGAAGTAATGCCAAGCGGAATTCATTCAAACACAATCAATGCCTTGTGATCTTCATTTTCATCTCTTTTCTTTTTTACTTCTCCTATAACAGTCTCTTCTTCAGCTTTTTCTTCTGAGTTCTGTCTACAATATCTAATTACTACAAAGCATATGAATGCTGCAGAAAAACCAGCAAAATGTCAAAGTTAGTCCTTGCAGAACTTTTATGTGAGAATGATGAAAATAAATCAAACAACAATAACTAGTAAATTTACCAGCAAATATGCGGGTTCTGATAGAGGTAAGGTTCCAAAAGGCAATCAATACAGATGCTGCTATAGTCTTCTTGTAAGAACAACCTCCCCATCTCTCTACGGCCCAATCTTTAAAGCTCTCAGCTGTTCATGTTGAGATGTATGATCAGTTGTGTTTAAAGAGAGAGATAGTAATTACTAGTAAGGGAGTAATAACACTACCATTTAAATACCTTTTATACATATTTGGCTAGAGCACGACGAATATAATTTTGGGACAATGAAGCTGATGAAAAACCCTGCCAAAGCAGCATAATATATGTAACCGTAAGTTGGCTGCAGTTCACATGCACTGATGCACCTTGTTAAATCATGTTTTACCGTTAAATTCCTTAGAATTTTTTTCCTTGTATTAGTGATGAAATTTATATATTTATGAATTACATGAGAAGTACTACTCAGTGTTAAACATACAAAAATAAACTTTAAGGAAATGAAGCTTTAATATAAGAAGAAGAAGAGAAAATTGGGTTTCGCCAAAATAGAAAAGGAGTAACTTCTGTGCCATATACAGAGTTGTAAATATGTTTTTGGACTATAAAGTTGTCATTTTCTCTATATTTGGGACTTCTCTTATCTTTAAGAAAATATTTACTTTCCTCATTTTGCTCTTATTTGATTGGGAGAGAAGTAAAATCTTGCAATTTACTATTTCACCTTTACTTTGTAAAGTTTTATATTTATTTTCATCCAATATGTTGAAAAAAGGTGTGTTTTGGATGAATGACAAGAATAGAAAGAAGACTTAATATTTGATATTTGGTTATACTCCCTCCGTCCCGAAAACAACTTCCCGGTTGGACTTTCACACACTTTTAGGAAATAAATTTGACTTTACTGTAGAATGCACTGTTTTGCAGTGTTTAAACACTGTTTGGCACTGTTTAAACACTGTTTGGCACTGTTTAAACACTGTTTGACACTGTTTATCACTTTTTTGATGTAGATAATTTACCAAATAAGGAAAATATTGAAGTGTGAAGTTAATTTTGGGACATCCATTTAAGGAAAGTGGGAAGTTGTTTTTGGGACGGAGGGAGTATATTTTTAGCATATATCTAAAAAAATCATTTAATTTTAGGCTTTTAATTTATCTTTTATTTTCTCTCGAATTTTATTTCCTTCTAATTTTCCTCTAAGTTTCCCTTCATGCTTATATTTTTCCAAACTGACTCAAAAAGCAAAAAACATCTGCTTCTCACTTACTTATACCAACTACTCCCAAAGAAGGGGAAATCAAAACTGTCTTCTTATTTTCCTCACATATTTTCTTTCCTCCCACAATGTCTCAATGCCTAAGAATGGCGTTAGTCCCTTACCAAATGCAGATAGTCTCCACAGAGTAAACAGATGGCCACACTCAGCTCCAACCAGAAGGAATGGTATTACCTAAAGCACAAAAACAACCAGCATTCTCAGTTCCAACTCTGACCTATTTCAATATACTCAGCAAGTAGTATCATTCAATACACACAAGCACGTAACATTTACTTTTAGGGTCATGGCAGGCTCTCCAGAAAACAACTCCCTTGTCTTCGAGATTGCAAGATTTGTTGAAGGAAGTATCAATCTCGCAATTCTACGAATATCTTCTTCTGTAAGCCTTCTTTCCGGCTTAACTTCAACATTGTCGCTGAACATTCAATTATCCGTACCATTTTTAGTTCTGAAATAGGATACTAAATCTTGCAGTAAGTATCCTTCAATAGAAACATACCTAGGACGAAACGTATTTGAGAAGAATGATACTACCAAAAACAGCAGGCCAACTTGCGACACGACAGAAACAACACTGCAGCCACATTATGAGTGAATTTCAAAACTAGAATTAAGATTAGAGCTTTGTAGGAATTTGGCAGATATGAATATAAGTGAAGAAATGGGCACACCTTATGCTAACTCCATTGGCAAAAAAAGAAGACAGAAAACAGAGAGAACCAAACCCAAACCAAAGGCTTGATTTTGCTGCATCCCTCCACAACACCAGATCATATATCTGCTCACTTATTCTATCCAGATTTTCCCCTTCACCTTCAATTGATTCTGTAAAAACCCATCGGCAATAAAAAAATAAATAAATTTTATCACCCACAATTCCACAAAGTACAAAAAATGAAGAAAAAGAAGAAGAATAAAAGGAAAAGTGAGTATACTTGGAGATGGTATTGGAACTAAGCCAAGTTTATCTTTCTTATATCTACCACTGTGCTTCTTCTTCTTCGGCTTATGAATTTGTTCTCCCGATCCCAAATCTTTCTCTTCTTTCACCAATTCTATCTCTAACCTCCTTCTCGATCTCCTGCAACTTCTGGGAGAGGCCACATTCCTAATCCTGGATCTCCTGCGACCTCCGCTGAGCTCCACACCATTGTCAGCTATTTCAAGCTTCTCGGCCGAAAGGGAACTCTTCTTACGAACAAGAGAAGGCGACATAAGTAATATATCGCGGATCGGTACGCTATTAGGGGGCTTCGGAGATGAAACAGAAGGTGAGTGTGAGGGAGAGGGCCCCACATTTAGAGTTTCGAATTCGAGGTCATTGAAACAGCGGAGCGGGGAGAGTCTTGAAGCCGATCTTGTTCTGCTCGAACGATGAGACGGAGGTGTTGTATCCATGGCCGGCCTGTTTCAGTGCTGGGATTTTGCGAACTTGTGAAAATGGAAGAAAGAACCGTTGAAGGGGCTAGAGTTTGGGTATCTTTCGGGTGGATTCAGTTCAGACCATTTTGTATTGGGCTTGAATGTGTAGAGATAGACGCATTTTCTAACGGTAGAAATTTGGAGACAAGTCCGTTGGGTACCTTTTGACTTTCGGTCATTGTATTGGATCTGTGACCATGTTTAAGTGGCGAACAAAATCAAAATGAATCTGGTGATACTTGAGGCTATAGAGTTTTGCTATGTTTACATCAAATGTGTACACAGACCTTCACATAAAGTCGAAACTTAATGCTCCTTTTTTATAATAATTTTTCATCTTTTTATGCTACATATATCTGTAATTATATTAGAATTGGGCTACTTGGAGGTGATATCATAATTAAAGATTTCTTCTTGCAAAATAAAAACATAATTGAAGATTTATGTTAATCCAACCAACATATGGAGTATAAAACTTTGTTTTACTTGTATGTAGACTTTCTAATAGAAAATATATGTAGTATGTTAGCATGCTTACTAAGAAGCGAATTTTGCTCCTCTCCAGTGACTGGAATTGTCCAGTTGGAGAGATATAGAGAGGTGGGGAAATTGTGGGATACGAAAAAAGAAAGATGAAATTTAATTATTATTTTTAAGCAGAAAGATAGAACGAAAAACAAATTGGGAGAAGGAAATTGAGACAAGTATGACAAAGATTTATTCATTTAAAAGATTTAGGGAATCTCAACCATTCATCATGCCAACGTGCTCCTTAGAGCTCCTTAGTGAGCACACTAGCATGCTCCATATATTCTCTCGGCTTTCTAAGATTTAACTTCTAAGTCTTGACAATTCGTATTATAAGTAAAACAAAAGCCGTCTCCAATAATATAATACTCCGTACATAGTAATTCATAGCAAGAAACAATGAATCCACCAAAGAATTTGCAGCTGATAATCAATTGAATGATCACTTTCATAGCATGTGCTTTAACAAGCTGAAGCACTTATTATTTGTACAAGTGATTATACAAATCTAGAAATGACATGACGCTTTATATTTCAAAAAACAAGCAATAGAACACACAAGCATTTCATTGTCCTTCCAGTGGTTGACATCCAACAAGAAGTTAGACACCACATCACCAACAATTAATAGAATTATTCATTTGAAGATAATATCCTGCCTGATAGCATACTATTTCTTGGCATGCCTTAGACAAAAAGCCTTGAGCCTTCCAAGTCCATCATCAAGGGTTGATGGCTCAATTGCAAAAGTTATTCGGAGCCAATTCTTGAGTCCCACCCCAAATCCTGCACATATTTTTGTCACTAATCTTATCAGAATATAATGCTACAAGAACAACATGAAAAAAGTAAAAATTTAGAAGCAAAGGACAGATATAGTCTCTATTTCTAAACAAGTACTGGGTTTATCCATTGGGGGGGGGGGGGCTTGCATTGTCGTACCTGGCAAAATTATCACTGATTCCTCCTTAGCCAGCTTGAGACAGAACTCCATATCATCTAAAATGTCTTCCAAGAGATCCAAATTAAGTTTTACCTGACAAGTTGGAAACTCATGTTATAACAATTTAACTACGGAGTATATCAGTTCTAGGTTAAAGTGTTAAATGATTTTGACAATACAAATCTTACCATTACAAACATAGAACCTTCAGGTTTGCTTGGGCAGGTGATGCATGGGATCTCCTTCAGTTTGTCATAACAGATGTCTGCAGCTTCTCTTAATATATTTACAATTTTAGAGAAAAAAGTTGGTTTGGTATTTCGAATAATATCAGGGATAGCTCCCTGTAAATAAACCGAAGAAAAAAAAAGACCATATTTAAAAAAACAAGGGAGACCATATTCATATGCATATGAAAACAAATGAGCAAATGAAGTAGTCATATCTAAGAAACACTGAAATGGTAAGCTTGGACTTTAGAAGACTCTCCCAACACTTGGAATTCCCGAAGCCAATAGTTTATCCCTCTCATCTGCTGCCATAGTTTATTTGAAGGATTGAATGACACAAGGGATTTTTTGTGACAAATAAACTGGTGTTTGATGATTTTTTCATAGCCCACTCTCTTTACCAGAAATAGAATATTTTGTTTCAAAAAGTAACTCCAAATGGGTAAACAATCAAGTATCCCATACCAACTAAAGCTGCCGCTCAAGAAAATAGGAAAAATAGAGGATAAAATCTTATTAGAGAAGACGCTGATGGACATAGAACCTGGATAAAGGTTGCAGGGTCAGACGAAATACTGAGGAAACCTGTGATGCAATCTATAACCTGCATATACAAAAACATTTTGAGCTCATTCCTTCATATTAGGTGGTCACTTGATTATTTTTTATCATCATTCATGAGAAAGTTAAGGGTTGCTTCAGTAAGCGATATAATACCATGCTTTATATCTTTATGGTTTAGCTTTGGAGCATTTTGAGTTGCTCCTCGGAAAACATATTAGTATTTTACCCAAAATATCTTTTATGGAGCCCAAACTCTCTGAAATTGCTCAGTCAATGATACGTACACATGAATTGGTATCGGTCAACCCAAACACTCAAATCACAACATGACTCATAGTTTCATACTTACACACCAAACTGCAACTCAAAGTCGGCACTAGTAACCATCATGTCTAAATAGGCTACTAGTGATATGGCAAAAAACAAAAATTTGCACAAATGTACATGTGATTATGTAATGCGAATTAAAATATGATAATGTTTGGATACAACAAAGGCACACTAAATTGCTTTCTTATGTTTGGTTTAACCTTAAAAAATAAGCAGGAAGATAATTTTTAAAAATGAATATGCTTAAATTTCAAATTTCTTAGTCTTTATAATACGAAGTACTTTAGTAGAAATAAATAAATAAAACTAGTATGAACCATATAAAAAATAAACCTTGCCATTTTATGCCTATCTTTTATTTTCCGCCAAACTTTCTTTTGCCCAAATATATTTCCTTTCCATGGTATTTTCTGGGTTCCAAATGGACCGTAAAAGAGAGTGGGAAAGGAAAGAAAAGAATACCCCTTGTTCTTTAAGAATCCCGTTGGTATCATTAGTGACAAGCCACCCAAGTCTCCAACCAGGAACAATCCACCTCTTTGATATTGATCCAACAGTAATAACAGGAACAATTGAACCAAAAACTCCCATAGGTACAAAAGGGGTATCTCCAAAAGTAAGATGGTCATACACTTCATCAGCAATTACAAGAATCCCGAGCTTTTGTGCAGTCTTTGCAATCTTTGAGGAAACAAAAAACTACTTTAGATGAGAAACCATCCTAGTGCGCATTTTAGATCACTCTCAAACTGAAACACGTAATATTTAGGCACCTTCTTTAGATGTTGGTGTTTGAAGACATTCCCACATGGATTACCAGGGTTTATAATGACCATTGCAACAGTATTTTCATCCGCTAAAGCCTCAACAGCATTAAGATCAGCTTCCCATTCATTACCTGGAAGAAGATCAAAGTGGCGGACTTCAAAGTTGGTGCAGGCTGCCCTAGCTTCGTAGAAAGGGAATCCTGGCCTCGGAAGTAGAATGTTAGCATTGGGGCGAGCAAGAACGGTAAGAAGGACTTCTATTGCTTGCGTGCATCCAAGGGTAAGGTAAACATCATCAGGTGATAGCTCATATGGGAGATCTTGAGAAAGGTACTCAGCTACTGCCCTGCTCATTTAACAAACATTAATCACAAAAATTTAATGAAAATCACTGATGATTGGTCATAAATCAACTTGTTTTAGTGTTGAGTCATTACAGACCAGCTAAATATAAAAACACAAGCCACAATATAAATATACTTTTGTTGATTTTTTAATAGAATCCAAGTTTTAAATAGAAAAAAGCTCCAATAAGCAATTTGATATTGATAGGCAGCAACATGAGCACACTGATTTCATGTGAAGCAATCTCCGCTAAAAAATAGAAACACAAACTCAAAATGACCTTTTTTTTTTGGAATAAATCGCTTCATTCTTCTTAAGACACTCCATCGTTCCCAATCGTGTATTCGTGTCTACCCTCTAATTAGACCATCCATTTTGTACAAACTGCAAATATTTAGTCTAAATTTGCCAAATAAATTCAAAAAGGGAAGCGCGCAATAGCTTAAGAGATTGTCCAGTAAAGCTGAAAAGATGAAAGAGTGAGTTATTACTGTCTAGCGGGAAGGATGCCAATGGAAGGGGCATATCCGTTGAACTTAGCGGAAACAAGGGAGCTGGAGATGGCGGATTCAGCCTCGGGTGGTGTCCGGAAGCAGGCGAAGGCAGAAGGGTCGCCGTGGCCGAGAGGAATGACGGGTCTCGGGTCATCCGGGTTGAGGTTTTTCATCACAGTGCCGAGAATTCCTCTTATGCTGATTGCGGAGGCTACTAAGAGCTCTTCGTTCCTTCTGAACCCCCACCTCGTTGACTGGCCGACGTTATCCATCGCCGGCGACGCTCCACTCACTCGACGAGCAGAGACGCTACAGGAAATGCATGGAAGAGTGGACTGTTTGCGGTTACGGAGTGTATGTCAGTGAATGGCCAATGGCTCTACCTGGTGGTTGGCGTCGATCGTCGTTTTGTTCATCATCATCATATAATAAAGATAAAGAAGAACTGTTACAGAACGTGCAATTGAATGGGCTGAATTCGAAACAAATTTTTGAGGGCTCCATCACCAATCATTCAGTGCTGAGCGTTTGTCATGACTGAGTTCTGAAACATGTCGAGTTAACTCACCTCGAATTGGCGATATCAGCTAAGATTATATCGCTCGAAATCATACCGTAGACGAAGTACAACTTGAGTCAATTTTGAACGGGATAAGGGTCAGTTTGGTCCTCGAAGTTGCAAAAAAAGGGTCAAATAAGTCCTTATATAGAAAATTCTGTCTGGACGTGCCATTTGAGGTGACTCTTAGTGGAATTTTTTGATGAAATTTTTTGAGCATCTTATTCATTAAGTCTAGTTTACTCATACCAAATTTCAGATAAAAATTCAATCGGAAAGACATTCAAATGAATTCTTGAAAATAACTATGTCGTTAAAAGCGCAGTTATCTTCAAGAATTCATTTGAATGTCTCCCCGATTGAATTTTTAGCTGAAATTTGGTATGAGTAAACTAGACTTAATGAATAAGATGCTCAAAAAATTTCATCAAAAAATTCTACCGGGAGCCACCTCAAATGGCACGTCCGGACAAAATCTTCTATATAAGGACTTATTTGACCCCTTTTTTTCAACTTCGAAGACCAAACTGACCCTTACTCCAATTTTGAACCTATAATCCATAAATCCATTCCGTTGAATCCCTCAATTTCTTTTATGGAAAAACTAACAAGAACAAGGGAGAATAATCCCACATTTGAATATTTGATAAATCTTCTCATAACTTATCTTCTTTCATTGAATTTTTACCCGTTCAAAACTTATTACTCCCTCCGTAACTTTAAAATTTTCCCATTTCTAAAGTAGGTAGATTAAAAACAGTGAAAGATGATATGAATTATTGAGGGTATGATGAGGAAATAGTTGAATAATGTGATGGAATATAGGATAAATCCAAAAAAAATAGTTGTAATAGTGTATTATTTTAAGAATTATTGAGGATATGATGGGAAGTTTTAGAAATGAGAAGATTTTTTTATTACGGACGAAAAAGGAAAGTGGGAAGATTTTTAACTTACGGAGGGAGTATTCTATGTTTCTATTTCCTCCCTAAAATTTTTCTTTCTACTACGTATAGTTCTATCTCTAGCTACTTTTATTCTTTTTTCCATCATTTTATTCTTATTTCTTTTCATTATTTATTATTCTATTTAGGGCAAATTCCCTTCTATTTTTCACTCTAATAAGAGAGTTTTTGTAAAATTTCCTTCCTAAATACATATTTTTTCATTTTCCCTTTCTTCTCGTATTTTTATTTCATTTCCTTTTTATGTTTCTCTTCTTAATCATTGTGTTTTTATTAGATTTCTCCCACGCTAATTTTTTGTTATATTACCTTTTAATTATCACTTTCCCTTTTTTCTTCTTGTTACTTTTTTTTATGTTTTCTTTTCTTTGTTCGTTTCTTTCTTGGTGATGGACAGTGTACCCGGAGGTAGCTTACCCGAGGAGTTATTATGGGAATAACCTAGAAAGAAGTCAGAGCAAACAAGTAAGAGAGAGGGAGAGACGATTGTATTAATGAACTCGAGATGTTCTGGTCTTTTACAATGGGAAAAGGGGGTACTATTTATAGCAGGAATAAATGCGATGAGAGTACACGTGTCAGCAATCTAACGGCCGAGGGGTCACCTCAATCGGGTGGCACTGGCATTCGCATGTGCACCGCATTGAATGCGGTGGGTGGATGTGACGCCGCATTAAATGCGGTGGTTGCTTGTCTCTAAAGGGAATCTCCGATGATTGAGTTGTTGGCCGAGGGCTCCCCCTGCGGCCGAAGGCTCTGTGTAGCCAAGGGCGTTGTACAGCCGAAGGCTTCTCTGATGCCGAGAGCACGAGAGTGCCGAAGGCTCCTGTTTTCTGCCATGTTCTCCCAGCAGCTTTGTATGCTCGAATCTGGCTGCCCTGTGAGTTCTGGAGCCTTCGGCCACATTGCCAAAGGCTACCATGGGCGCAACTTGGGCTCCTTTGAACTTGGGCCGCTGTGTTTTGGGCCTTTTGTGCTTCTTGGTCCTGTTGGGCCTATGCTAGAGTAGTAGGAGTCTGTGGGCCGGGGTTCTTAGGCCATATACTCCATCACTTGGTGTTATCTTAATTTCACCATCAATATATTTTTTATTCCTTTCTTAATTATCGTATTTTTCTAAGTAAACCATCCATCAAAACCATCAATTGTAGGAAAAACTCTATTTGATAAAAAGATTAGGGAGAAATAAAATTTAAAGAAAAACAAAACATTCGGGAAATTTAAATAAAATTAAAGCAATCGGGAAATGTTTTATTTTTCTTTCAATTTTATTTTTCTCTAATCTTTTCGTCACATAATATTTTCCCATAATTGATAGAATTAATGGGTAGACTCACATAGAAATATACAACAATGAAGAAAGAAGGAAAAATATAATCATTGTATAATTAAGATAACAACAAGAAAGAAGAAGAAAATGAAAAAAGAACCAAGGAGAAAAAAGGAAGAACGTGAAAATAAAAAGAAAATGTAACAAAAGTAGAGTGGAAAAAAGATTTTTAATAAAAAAAGAATGATTAAGAAGAGAAATACATAAAAGGGGAATGAAATAAAATACATGGACAAAGAGAAAATGACAAAAATCTATTTGGGAAGGAAATTTTACAAAAAAAAACCCTCCTAATAGATTGAGAAATAAAATAATAAATATGGAAAAGAAACAAGAACAAAAAGTTGGAAAAGGGAATAAAAAAATGTCTAGTGCTAAAAACAAACAAATAAAAGTTATAGAGAAAAAAGAAAGAAACATGGGACTTTCTGTGCAGATTTATAAATTGTATGATTGTTTAGAGAAGACGAGTTCAAGGTGGGATTATTCTTGTAAATTTCTCCTTATTTGTTTTCTCCAAAGTAATGCTACAGAAAAAGTTATTCATGAAATTAGAGTTATATGGAGTACTAAAACTATTTTTCAAAATACTGTCGAAGTGAACCCTATTAATAAAAGCCGCCAACTCAATTGATGACTTTCTATCAGGGTCAGAAGTCACGTTTCTCGAAGGGACTCACGTTTCAAGTTTCATGGACCCCCCCCCCCCCCCAATTAAAAAAATCACCCTTTTTTATATTGCTATAACTTTTTTTTTATTTATGATCTGATTATTATAAAAAATATCAAACTTGATGTTGAGTTTAATCCAACACGATATAGTAAATATATGTATAAATGTGTATGAACAAACTATTTTTACGTGGAAACCCGAAAGGGAGAAAACCACGGGACTTTTTAGGCTAATGTCCAAGTCCTCTCCTTCTCATTAATCTCTCCTCACCATTACAAAGTACAAGGTATTGAGCTCCCATTAATGGAGGATGAAGCTAGCTATTCTATTCTAGAAAGAAGGAAGAAGACAAGATCCCTAATATGGAGGGAAACCCCCATATTTATAGAGAATAGGGGAAGGGGATGCTCTCCACCCTAATGGGCCGCATGGGCCGGAGTGGGCCCAAATGGCTAAAGTGGGCCGGATGGGCCGAAATGGGCCTAGCTGCTCGGGCTCCGTACTACGTAAAGCCTTGGACTCATGAACAGTAATAGGCCGGGATAATATATCCCAACACAAGTCCCCCAGTTTCTTGAGTAGTGAGCTCGCGAATCTGCTCGAGAAAATATACTCTGTCTGCGCTCTTCCTCTGTCTTGCTGGAAACTGTGTCTTCACATAATCATCATATATGAGTGAGTGTCTGCACTCCTGAACGTAATCTACCAGTGAGGCACCCCCCTTCCCGACAGGGTCGGGCGAAGGGTGCTCCTCCACGGGCACACTCCCCCTGAATGCATCAGGCGGGAGTAAAGAACTCTGACTCGAGCTTTCCAATCGGAGAAGCTTAGAGGTCCATCATCTATAAACCGACGCCGCGGTACTGTCAAACATGATGCACGTGTGTATGTATGAATGTATGAGGTATGATGCATGAATGTATGTATGCATGTAATGTATGTATGTAATGTATGAGAGAGGGAATGCAAGATGTGATAGAAGCAGTAGCTCTCATCGATAACCCGGGCATGTCAGCACCGAGAAGCAGACGCGCTGCGCAAGACGGGTCCCCCATCCGAGATGGCATGGGCGGAGCCGAAGGTGGACTAGACATGATGCCGCCGAGGGGCCAATCATGCTGCATACGACGGGTCCCCCATCCGAGATGGCATGGGCGGAGCCGGAGGTGAACTAGACATGATGCCGCCGAGGGGCCAATCGAGTTGTATAAGAGATGTTCGTCGCCATCCTGGAAGGGATGGGCGAGCCGAACACGAGCCAGACACGATGGTGCTGGGGCGCTGATCGTGCTGCATATGAGACGTTCGTCGCCATCCTGGAGGGGATGCGTGATCCGATCGTGAAAGAGACACGATGGCGCTGAGGGACCGATCGTGCGGCATAAGACGGTCGTCGCCATCCTGAAGGGAATGTGCGAGCCGAACCGTGAAGCCAGGTACGATGGCGCTGAGGGGCCGATCGCACTGCATAAGACGTTCGTCGCCATCCTGGAAGAGATGCGCGATCCGAACGTGAAAGAGACACGATGGCGCTGAGGGGCCGATCGCGCTGCATAAGACGGTCGTCGCCATCCCGGAGGGAATGTGCGAGCCGAACCGTGAAGCCAGGTACGATGGCGCTGAGGGGCCGATCGCACTGCATAAGACGTTCGTCGCCATCCTGGAAGAGATGCGCGAGCCGAACCGTGAAGCCAGGTACGATGGCGCTGAGGGGCCGATCGCACTGCATAAGACGTTCGTCGCCATCCTGGAGGGGATGCGCGATCCGAACGTGAAAGAGACACGATGGCGTTGAGGGGCCGATCGTGCTGCATAAGACGGTCGTCGCCATCCCGGAGGGAATGTGCGAGCTGAACCGTGAAGCCAGGTACGATGGCGCTGAGGGGCCGATCGTACTGCATAAGACGGTCGTCGCCATCCTGGAAGGGAATGGGCGAGCCGAACCGTGAATCTGGACACGATGGCGCTGAGGGGCCGATCGTGATGCATAAGACGTTCGTTGCCACCCTGGAAGGGATGGACGAGCTGAACGTGAGCTGGGTACGATGGCGCTGAAGGGCCGGTCGTACTGCATAAGACGGTCGTCGCCATCCTGGAGGGAATGGGCGAGCCGAACCGTGAACTGGGTATGATGGTGCTGAGGGGCCGATCATACTGCACAAGACGGTCGTCGCCATCCTGGAGGGGATGGGCGAGCTGAACGTGAGCTGGGTACGATGGCGCTGAGGGGCCGGTCGTACTGCATAAGACGGTCGTCGCCATCCTGGAGGGAATGGGCGAGCCGAACCGTGAACTGGGTATGATGGCGCTGAGGGGCCGATCATACTGCACAAGACGTTCGTCGCCACCCTGGAAGGGATGGACGAGCTGAACGTGAGCCGGGTACGATGGCGCTGAGGGGCCGGTCGTACTGCACAAGACGGTCGTCGCCATCCTGGAGGGGATGGGCGAGCCGAACCGTGAGTCTGGACACGATGGGGCTGAGGGGGCCGATCGTGATGCAGGAAAATAGTGATGATCATCTCATGGCCCTCGGCCTGTCGGTGAGTGGTAATCGTCTCGCGGCCCTCGGCCGTGCTGGTGATGTGTCAAGTCTCTCTCCTGATTGGCTGTGAGAAGCCGATCGTCTGTCAGGACTCCATCCGGGAAGGAATGGTGAGCCTGAAATAAATCTGGGTGATGTCCCTCCCATCTGATCTGAGGAGCTAGTCTTCGTTCGTGTACCGCATCCGTGGTCCTATGTACGGACCGCTAAACGGTGTACACTCGGCACGCACAGACTCCGGTAAAGAACTGGTCCATCGTGTCTGATCCATGGAGCTGGTCTTCGTTCGTCTACCGTATCCGTGGTCCTATGTATGGACCGCTAAGCGGTGTACACTCGGCACGCAACAGACTCCGGTAAAGAACTGGTCCGTCGTGTCTGATCCATGGAGCTGGTCTTCGTTCGTCTACCGTATCCGTGGTCCTATGTATGGACCGCTAAGCGGTGTACACTCGGCACGCAACAGACTTCGGTAAAGAACTGGTCCGTCGTGTCTGATCCATGGAGCTGGTCTTCGTTCGTCTACCGTATCCGTGGTCCTATGTATGGACCGCTAAGCGGTGTACACTCGGCACGCAACAGACTCCGGTAAAGAACTCGATCTTTGTTCTTCCCAAGTCTCGTGAGTACTGGTCTCCTGGTTTCGCAGGAGACGTTCGTCATCCCAACTATGAGAAGAAACAGGTTTATCCACGTCGGGATTCCCAATTCTTCGTTCGTCCCTGTCGTGGTCCTACTAATCTTCTTACTTCGAAGAAGACGTTCGGTCATCCAACGATCGCAAGGAGGAACAAGTTTATCCACGTCGGGATTCCCTATTCTTCGTTCGTCCCTGTCGTGGTCCTACTAATCTTCTTATTTGAAGAAGACGTTCGGTCATCCAACGATCGCAAGGAGGAACAGGTTTATCCACGTCGGGATTCCCTATTCTTCGTTCGTCCCTATCGTGGTCCTACTAATCTTCTTACTTCGAAGAAGACGTTCGGTCATCCAACGATCGCAAGGAGGAACAGGTTTATCCACGTCGGGATTCCCTGCTTCGTCGTCCCATGCTCGTGGCCCTACTAGCCTTCTGCTTTGGCAGAAGGTGTTCATCGAACCACGGGTCATGGGAGGAACTGGTTTATCTTGCCGAGGTTCCCTTTGGTACGTCTAGCCCCCCCCCCCCCCACGTTCCTACTAGCCTCCGCGTCGGGAGACGTTCGTCATACGCGGTGAAGGAAGATCAGGCATACCTCGTCAAGACTCCCTCTCTCATAGGATCTCGTCTCCCCTTCTCCCATCTTTTTTTTTTTTTTCTTTTCTTTTTTTTTTTTTTTTGAGGGAGGAAAATACGTTCGTCGGTTCCAAGGATAACCACAAGTGATGTCACACATAATGGTGGTGGGATGCAAAAATGAATAAAATGACGAGGTGATGGAATAGTTGGTCGTCATGCGAAGGCGATGGTCACTCTCCTGGAGGGGAGGGGTGAGCCCGATCGCTAACTCAAGAAGGTCGGCATTGGGAGCCGATAATGATCATAATGTCGCTGAGCAGTCGGTCCTGATAAGGAGATGAAAATAGTGTCCGATCAGGCCGATATATCCAAGCAACGGCTCTCATCCACGCAGCGCGGGGATGAAACCGGTCTTCAAAAGATAAATATGTCGTGCCGAGGGGCCGATCATAACATGATAGTGTCGGCAGTCAGAGGCCGACCTGAAAGAATCAAGCAATGGTCCTCGTCCGCGAGGGGCGGGGACAAGGTCGGTCTTCAAAAGATAAGCACGCCGAGCCGAGGGGCCGGTCGTGGTATAATGGTGTCGGCAATGAGCGGCCGATCTGAAAGAATCAAACAACGGTCATCGTCCGCGGTGTGGCGGGGACGAGGCCGGTCTTCAAAGATGATAATCACGCCAGGCCGGGGGGCCGAACATGATATGACAGTGTCGGCAATGAGCGGCCGATCTGAGAAAATCAAGCAACGGTCCTCGTCCGCGAGGGCGGGGACGAGGCCGGTCTTCAAAGATGATAATCACGCCAGGCCGGGGGGCCGAACATGATATGACAGTGTCGGGAATGAGAGGCCGATCCCAAAAATCAAGCAACGGTCCTCGTCCGCGAGGGCGGGGACGAGGCAGGTCTTCAAAAGATAGGCACGCCGAGCCGAGAGGCCGGTCGTGGTATAATGATGTCGGCAATGAGAGGCCGATCAAGTGTATCCGTGCAACGGCTCTCATCCGCGCAGCGCGGGGATGATACCGGTCTTCAGGTGATAAATACGCCGTACCGTGAGGTCGGTCGTGATGTAAGGATGGTCCCACGACCCTCGGCCGTAGTGGTCTCCTCTAGGCCACCGGCTCCTGGTGTGGAGATGCTCGTATCACGGCTCTCAGCCGTGATGGTTTCCTCTTGGCCCTCGGCCTCTGGATGATGGATGATCGTCTCACGGTTCTTCGCCGTGGCAGTTCCCTCTAGACCCTCGGCCTCTAGGTGTTCTTCCTAGGCCATCGGTCTCTGGGATGGAGATGCCCGTCCCGTGGTTCTCAACCATGGTGGTCCCCTCTTTAGCTGGCCCTGAACGTCTTCAAGACTCGGGCCAAGCGTCTTTTCATCATTTCGCTCGAGCGCGTCGAGTGGCTTCAGCTGCGCAATAAGCATGATAACGGGCCGCACGGCCCGACAATATGTATACACACATAACCATCTGCATGGCTTTCTTTCTAACACCCACGATTACCGGCCTATGGGTCATCGTGACCCTCGGCCCGGCTCATCGTGCGGGGTTAAGGGACGTAGCAGCTCGCGGCGGGGCCAATTAGCAGCCCGCCGAACGTCACATGGAGATATTCTTCGGTCTGTGAGTTTTCAAACTCAGACCCAAGTTGGTCGCACTGCCCTCGGAAAAACGAGGTTGAGTGCTTTGGTGCCCTCGAGCCCCACAGGCCGCGTCTGGCAATAGTCACTTCGCGCCCAATGGCGTAGATGACAGTGGGGTACGATCGTCGCTCGGGCACGTAGTGCCGTGCGGACTAATGCGCAACCCTCAAATTAAAATGCGTCGTCGGGCTATCGCCCTTCTGGAGACGCTCCGATCGCTTAACCAAGCCGATCGAGGGTGGGCCAACGGGCCCACAAGAAATTAAATATTCAATAAAATGTTGGCTGAACCAACCATCACTAGAGCTTCGCTCCATATTATTTAATTCGGGACATTTTACCCCTAATAAATAATAGGGATTTAACGGCAATAGCAATGATGTCATCCTATCAAAGGTCATTCCGGTATGCTCCGTCCGCTAATTTAAGCCGATCAGGAGCGGGCTGACGGGCCCACAACAACCAGTCATTAAATTTAAATGACGGTGAAAACTAATTATCACAAAGAGCGTCGCTCGGCATTATTTAATTTCGGGAGGTTTTAATCCCTAATAAATAATGGTGATAAAATAATTTAACTAATGACAATACCAGTAATATTTCAAAACAATTACGGAGTATCAATTCAAAGTTCAAGAATAGGCCAGTGGAGTATTGTCAGGTTTGCTCCCTATTTTCTTCTTTCAATTTTGACTTGGTCAAAATCCATCAATCCATGTTCCCATATGTTTTTCAACCCGTAGAGAGACCTCATGCGGAGTATTCTGTTTAACTCCACGTAGAAAGTCCGAACTTAGACCTCATAAGGAAGCATCCATGTTCAATCCATGTTCGCATCTGTTTTTTTTTAACCATCTTTTAGTTCACTCCTCAAAATAAATTGGCCTTTCCATACTTGGCCTCAAACTTGCGGACGTGGCCCGCTTAGGTCCATAGCATTTCATGCGGAGTGCATCTCTTAGAAAGGGCAGGTGGAGCACCTTTCTACCAAACCAGACGCAGCCCGTTCGTGCCGGCCACCTTCTGCCGGGGGAGATGGGGTCGCAACGTTGCAAGGACGGCCAGAAAAGCTAATCCCCGGTGGAAGCTTAACCGAAATTGCTAAACCCCTCTTATGAGCTCGAAACCACCATTAATGGCGGAAACCAAGGACTCAAGGAGGTGTCTGGTTGGAAAATCCCCCGAGTTGGGTCGGCAGCGAGGTTGAGCCCTGAGCAGCGACTGTCCAGACGGAGGAGCGACCACCGTCTTTGATCTTCCGGCGGTGCGGCGAACCGCGGCTGGCTCGGAGAGCTCCTGACGTTACACGGCGGAGATTTGGCAGATGCTCCGGCGGCGGCGATGCTCTGGCGGCGGCAGATAAACAGAGAAAAATCCAAAGAGCCCAGATTTCCCATAATCATTTTCCCTCCTGCTTTCTTCCCAGAATCATTTTCCTTCGTTTTGTTGAGACCAGTTTGTCTGGTATCATTTTTTTTTTTTGTAAATCAGTTCGTCTCAGGTTTGTTGTTGAAGCTGAAGAACACGCTTAGTCTTTTTGAACTGATTCCCATAGACGGCGCCAGTGTTGAGTTTAATCCAACACGATATAGTAAATATATGTATAAATGTGTATGAACAAACTATTTTTACGTGGAAACCCGAAAGGGAGAAAACCACGGGACTTTTTAGGCTAATGTCCAAGCCCTCTCCTTCTCATTAATCTCTCCTCACCATTACAAAGTACAAGGTATTGAGCACCCATTAATGGAGGATGAAGCTAGTTATTCTATTCTAGAAAGAAGGAAGAAGACAAGATCCCTAATATGGAGGGAAACCCCCATATTTATAGAGAATAGGGGAAGGGGATGCTCTCCACTCTAATGGGCCGCATGGGCCGGAGTGGGCCCAAATGGCTAAAGTGGGCCGGATGGGCCGAAATGGGCCTAGCTGCTCGGGCTCCGTACTACGTAAAGCCTTGGACTCATGAACAGTAATAGGCCGGGATAATATATCCCAACACTTGATCATATTGTTTTTAGGAAAAATTGATAGTAACAATCCCAATTATTGGCGGTCCGCTCATAATAATCTCAACTATCGATTATTTCAGAATAATCCCAACTTTAGGGACCTTCCCATTAATGGTCTGATGATGTGACCGACTATAAATAAATTTATGTAGTTTCTAAAGTGGATGAGAAGAGATATAACAATTAATCCCTATAAATAATCTCAATTTTTAATTTTTACGCTTAATTTCTATTTAAAATTGGAGGTAATATCTGGTCATGGACCATTATTGGCGGACGGTCCATATAGTTGGGATTATACAAAAATAATCAATAGTTGGGATTATTATTAGCGGACCGCCAATAGTTGGGCTTATTATTTCTATATAAATAACCATGTCATTTTTAATGAAAAGCTTAAGCCATAACGGATGTAATATATCGATTATCGATCGATATACCTATAATTATCGATCACATACGTACTAATAAAATTTTCATCATGTTTTAATTTTTATACAATAAGTACGTTTGTTCACATTACTAATGAAATGAATATAATTGCTTTCAAAAATAAAATATATCCTAGCTGGTAACACTGAAAATGGGTTGAATCGGTTGAAATTTGTAAATTACTTAATGAAGCGATTGAATTAGAATTATGAAAAACATCAAAGTATACTTTATCAATAGAATAAAAAAGGAATTATATAAAAAATAGTCACATTTGGCTAATTCTTTCAAATTAATCACAATAGTCACTTCAACTTTACGTATTTTAATTATTACATCAAAAAGTTAAATATTTTATAAAAAGGTGACTTATAAGATTTATATGCTGAAGACAAGAGTTACCAACCGATTGACGGTTAACTTCATTCGTCATCCGTGCAACGCACAAGTCAATTGACTAGCCTAAACCAT